TAGGTTGATTCAAAAGAGAATCCAGGTTTCTTAAGTGTTCATGTTACAATCTAGAACGTTTAAAGAAAGTTCGTGTTATAATCCGGGATGATTCAAGAGAGAATTCAGAACTGTTCACGAACTATTCTAGGACTGTTCATGTTAAAATTAAGATTTAAGAGAGAATCCAGGACTGTTCAAGAGAGAATCCAGGACTGTTCAAGAAAGAATCTAGGACAGTTCATGAATGAATCCAGAGATGAAATTTAAAGAATTTGAGCCGCGGTTTAAATCTGCAAAAACCCGGTTTAAATTAAACGCCGCTTAAATCTTGAAACATTTGATACAATTCTAAGTGGAACCAACCATATTTATGGCGCGGCTTAAATTTAAACCGCCGCTCAAATTCTTTAAATTCGGCCACAGGACTGTTTGTAATAGAATCCAGGAACGGTATATCCGTGCATCCAGTTCGGTTTTTAATAAAACCCGAGACGGTACATGAAAGAACTCCAGACGGGTTGTTTTGAAATCTAGGACTGTTTTTTCATATTTAATTTAGCTAGTTTAGAAGTTGAGGAGTCAGTGTGGAAAATAATATTTTGCCGCATTCCAACAAATAATAAGTGCAGCAGCTTTTCCCTTCATTATCCAAGGTTATACAAATACAGGGTGTCGGAAGAAAAAGTCCCATGGTTGGCCTGTTCATATTAACATTTACCTAAGAAAATGACTACTTTTAATTTACATTTTTTCAGTCACAACCTACACACTCCAGACTGTAAATCAACAAGTATAGATATTCCCTGGAAGCAGGGATTTTCATTTTTTCCTTTAAAAAAACATTGCTGCCCATTTGTAGAAATGCAGGATAAAAACTATCTCACAAGTTTTATTTGACAAAAAATATTTATAGAAATATTATGTGTGTCGAAATTCTGTCATTTTAAACCTTGCTTGTCGCTCAATATGTCGGAAAATAATCCCCTCTATTGCTTGATAAAATATCATTTCTTCAGAGAAACTATTTTTTATTTCTAACTGAAATATAATAACAAAACTTTATCCTTTTTCTCCGTATGTCTCGAGACTGTGGATTATTCCCTCTCAATTCCAGTTTTTCCTTTTTATGTGTGTGACATTTTCCGTTGGCCTCCGGTTAGGGATAATTGATGAAACCAAGTTAAAAGTTTCTTACTTCAATAAATCCAGGAATATCTGGTTCTAAACCCATATTCTGGCTCCAAAATACACCTTCCCTGGCTCCATGGTATGTTTATCCTGGCTCCAACTTTATTCATTTAAATACAAACGATGACGCTTCAAATCTTGGAGAATTCAAGGATTCAAGGATTTCTTTTCTCTCTCATCCTTCCGCTACTTTTTTTTTGCTTGCTCATGGCTTTGCAAATATTATCAAGTTCTTTCCGTCCATTCGTTTCTTATCTTTTTAAATATTCCATTTCTTCTCAATCTCTTTTTTTCTACATTCTTTTTTCAACGTGTATTCCCTTTTCTCTTATATTCCTTTTTCTCATCTATTCTAGTTTTTTCTCTTTTTCCTTTTCTTCCTTTTTTCTCCTCTAGTCGCTTTTCTCCTCTTGTCCCTTATTCTCCTTTATTCCCTTTTCTCCTTTTTTCCTTTTTCTCCTCTAGTACCTTATTCTCCTCTTTTCCCATTCATCTTCTATTCCCTTTTCTCTTTTAGTTCCTTTTCACCTCTATTCCCTTTTCTCCTTCATTCATTTTAATCCTCTATTCCCTTTAATCTTCTATTCCCTTTTTCTTCTAGTCCCTTTTCACCTTGGTTCCCTTTTCTCCTCGGTTCCCTTTTCTCCTCTGTTCCCTTTTCTCTTCTAGTCCCTTTTCTCCTCTATTCCCTTTTCTCTTCTCTTCCCCTTTCCTCTTCTATTCCCTTTTTCTCCTCTTTTCCTTTTTCTCCTCTATTCCCTTTTCTCCTCTATTCCCTGTTCTCCTTTATTCCCTTTTTTCCTCTATTCCCTTTTCTCCTCTATTCCCTGTTCTCCTTTATTCCCTTTTCTCCGCTTTTCCCTTTTCTCCTCTATTTCCTTTTCTCTTCTATTCCCTTTTCTCTTCTATTCCATTTTCTCCTCGATTCCCTTTTCTCCTCTATTCCCTTTTCTCCTCTATTCCCTTTTCTCCTCTATTCCCTTTTCTTCTCTATTCCCTTTTCTCCTCTATTCTCTTTTCTCCCCTTTTCCCTTTTCTCTTCTATTCCCTTTTTTTCTCGATTCCCTTTTCTCTTCTATTCCCTTTTTTTCCTCGATTCCCTTTTCTCCTCTATTCCATTTTCTCCTCTATTCCCTTTTCTCTACTAGTCCTTTTTCTCCTCTATTCCCTTTTCTCCTCTATTCCCTTTTCTCCTCTATTCCCTTCTCTCCTCTATTCCCTTTTCTCCTCTATTCCCTTTTCTCCTCTATTCCGTTTTCTCCTCTATTCCCTTTTCTCCTCTATTCCCTTTTCTCCTCTATAGTCCCTTTTCTCCTCTATTCCCTTTTCTCCTCAATTCCCTTTTCTCCTCTAGTCCCTTTTCTCCTCTAGTCCCATTTCTCCTCCATTCCCTTTTCTCCTCTATTCCCTTTTCTCCTCTATTCCTTATTCTCTTCTAGTACCTTATTCTCCGCTAGTCATATTTTCCTCTATAGTCCTTATTCTCCTCTATAGTCCCTTTTCTCCTCTATTTCCTTTTCTCCTCTGTTCCCTTTCCTCCTCTAATCCCTTTTCTCCTCTATTCCCTTTTCTTCTCTATTCCCTTTTCTTCTCTGTCCCTTTTCTCCTCTTTCTTTGTATTAATCCTTCCCTAATTCCCCAACCTCCTCTTCAGCTTATCCTAATTGACCTCTATTAGTGGTCACTCGACACCTGTCAATATTCTGACTCTTTAACGATAAAGGATGAAAACTCGATGAAAACTCGATGAAAACTCCATATTCACAAGAAAGGGCATAAATCAGCTTCTTCAATGCGAGCGATGACAAATTTTAATCCCACAAAAACGCTATAAAACCTTCTTTACAGGACGTTAAAGATGGTTAAGAATATATTATTTCACAATATTAACATAAATTAATTATTTTGCATAATTTATTTAAATCTAAAATTATTTCATAAAAGTTTGAAATTCAGTCCCTTGTTTACAAAAAGTTTTTTGTTTATTGGGGATAAAAACCCAACTAAGAAAACCTTAATCTAAGTCATAGCCCACTAACCATCTACGCGCCTTGAAAAACCTTCAATGTTTTAAAAAATAAAACATCAAAGAATTGGTCTTAAAAACTGATTTAAATATAGTTTACTTTTTTCTTTTCTATTCTATTCTATTCCTGCCTAATGAAGTAAATGAATATAAATATACAGAGATGGATAAGACTGGAGGCCACTAAACTAATCTTGTCTTGAATAAGTAAATGAGAAAGCATGAAACGAAAACAACATCAATAAGATAATTGAAGAATAATTAACACAACAAAGACGATTAAAATATGAATAAATTCCAGTCCAAGAAATTCTTATAATGTTAATTTCAAAACAAAGTTTTGACAAAACTATGTTTAAAATTTTTCCCGTCTTAGTATAATTTTGGAAACTTTATTACCGTTATGTTATTGAATACAAATTTGACATTTTCCACACACTTAGACATTTTTTCAACCTCATCCAGTTGACAAGACTATAAAAAAAGTGTTGCCAGTTTCAATACATAGTAGTAAATTTCTTTATTACTGTTATGTTATTGGATACAAAGGAATTGAGTCTTTGCCACAAACTCTGATTTTCTAATCCCTACATCTTTGGAACCAAATGTTGCAGACCTTAGATATTTCAAACTATGAATTCTGTTAGATCAAATAATCTGAGTTTGAAATATCAAAGGTTTACAACATTGATATCTAAAGATATTGAGGTTTAAATATTTGATTTTGTTCCAAAGACTCATTTCCTTTGTCCCTCCTCATCAAACTAATGAACCAGGTTGGTCGAATATGCAATAATTCCCCTTCTTGGAAACTTTTTTATCGATCCATACTACCAAACCAAACCAGTAGGTTTTCTTACCACTCTGGGACTTAATCTAGATCTAGGTCTATATTTAGGTTTGTAGATCCAGATTTAGGTATAGGTCTATATTTAGGTGTAGGTCTATATTTAGGTGTAGGTCTAGATTTAGGTGTAGATCTAGATTTAGATATAGGTCTAGATTTAGGTATAGGTCTATATTTAGGTGTAGGTCTAGATTTAGGTATAGGTCTAGATTTAGATATAGGTCTAGATATTTAGGTATAGGTCTATATTTAGATAAAGGTCTAGATTTAGGTGTAGATCTAGATTTAGATATAGGTCTAGATTTAGGTGTAGATCTAGATTTAGATATAGGTCTAGTGATCGGTCGAAACCATAATTAAATAAATTAAATTGAATAAATAAATATAAAAAATAGCCTGTAAACTGTGTGTTTGTGTGATGTCTGATTAAATATTCCATGTTGAAGGATGCAAAACCAGTATTTAAAGCATAATACACGAGAACACTCCTTAATCTTAGAACGTGGTGGAAAACATTGCAAAAAAAGGGATAGGTCGGAGAAAAAACATATTTTTAACTTAAAATAGAAATTTTTAATATTTATATCATGCAGTGACTTGATGCCGTAGACCTTTGATAGACTTAATTTCCTTAATCTTTAATTAATCAATAAGTTTGTAATTATATAGGAATTGGAAAAATAGAGTTTGTAACGCGTGTTCAGTTCAATAAATCAGATGGAAAATAACCTTCACAGCTGAAGTAAAAATGCTTTTTAAATGTTTTAAAAAGAATATTATTTTTTTGAACATCTAAGATAGAATATACATAATTAATAAGGAAATGGAGTTTCTATGTCCTTGTCAACCACTAAAAGATATTTAGAATTATTATATTTAAAAAGTTTCTTTCGTAAAACAATTAAATATACATTCAGGTAGAAGTTGAAGAAAAACTTCTAAATAAAAAAAGATGATCTAGGGAAACCAGACATGATGTCCGGTTACAGCAGTGAGATGAATTCCAAATATAGGAACCCTAACCCTTCCACCAAACCCTTTCCCCTCAGNAGGTCTAGATTTAGGTGTAGATCTAGATTTAGATATAGGTCTAGATTTAGGTGTAGATCTAGATTCAGATATAGGTCTAGATTTAGGTATAGGTTTAGATTTAGGTCTAGGTCTAGATTTAGGTATAGGTCTAGATTTAGGTATAGGTCTATATTTAGGTGTAGGTCTAGATTTAGATATAGGTCTATATTTAGGCGTAGATATAGATTTAGGTAAAGGTCTAGATTTAGATATAGGTCTAGATTTAGGTATATGTCTATATTTATGTGTAGATCTAGATTTAGATATAGGTCTAGATTTAGGTCTAGGCCTAGATTTAGGTATAGGTCTAGATTTAGGTATAGGTCTATATTTAGGTGTAGGTCTAGATTTAGATATAGGTCTATATTTAGGTGTAGATCTAGATTTAGGTATAGGTCTAGATTTAGGTATAGGTCTAGATTTAGGTCCAGGTCTAGATTAAGGTCTAGGTCTAGATTTTGGACTAGGTAGAGGGTTAAATTTACAATAAACTTGATTAAATACAATCTCTGTAATGTGTGGAGCAATAAAACTTATTTAAGATGGAAACTAAATGACTTGTCAATAATCTCTGGCTTCTCAGATACCTCTCTCTCTATCTCTCGATCTCATTCTCTCTTTTAGAGACTAAAAGAGGAATTTTCCATCCCAGAGAGAACTATTTCTTCAGAACCCTTCCACGGTTCAATATCCGGGATATCGTACAAGTATATGAGGATTAGAAGGATGCAGATACAAGAATTTAATTACAATCTGTGTAAAAACCTTCCATAATCTGCAGGACGGATTAACTCCGTAAGAAATGTGTTTTGTCTGAACCTAAACTAGGAGCTGGTCACGGTTGATAGTCTACTAGAAATGCAGTATTACTCCTCAAAGCGGTTTCTTGTAAATCCGCAATTTGGAAAACGTCTGAACAAACCAATATTTTGGATTTCGAGTGACAAACTATAACTGATGTAATTTTTAACTTTACTCCGAATTGGCTTATAATTATGCATCCCCTAATTATGTCTCACAATCATGTTAGTCTAATTATAAATTGATCTTTTATTATGTTTCAAACACATAATTAGTATCTCTTCCTGAACTATCGACTTTATCATTGATTATCTACAAAATGCAGGAAGAGTTACAAAATCCGGTTTACACAATTCGACCATTTTAAATTGGAATGCGCGACCACTGCACCTTAAGTGGCTCAGTGGTTTTAACGTCCAGTGCAGGGGGAAGGGTTAATTTCATGCAATTTGGCGTTGTTTGTGGTCCATTTTAAGAGACAAGGTTGGTCTAGAAAACAGGTTTGAAAACTGCTTGTAATGGAATCTGTAGATTAAAGATAGTTTTATACTCAACAGTACAGAGAATGAACAAAATTACCGTTCAGACTATTTTATCGCCATCAAAACACTAAAAGAAATAATTAAATGATGTACTTTAATTCAAGTCCAAGAGCTGGAAATTACATACCTAGAAAAAGTAGAAAAATACAGGTAAAATAGATTATGATTAATAACACAAAGTAAATTATGATAAATTCAGTCGAGCTGAAACTTTTCATTAAGTACAGGGTGTCCCACAAAACATGACAGCTAGTGAATAGTTTTAAATGTCTTCTTTTATAATTTATACAGTTCGTTGATGCCAAACAGAATAATAAACACATCACATGGCCGTCATATTATAGTAAAATTGATTTTAAAGTAAAGTATATTTGAGTAAAAGATTTTTTTATCAAAATAAACTGCAAAAAAATCTTTAATATCTAATTATAGTATATGGAAGAATACATTCAATACTATTTACCAACTGTCATGTTTCGTGGGACACCCTGTATGTTCAAGATATTTCGAAAAAAACTTACAACTATTACAAATTAAGTTTTCATTTTAATTCCTGTGTAGAAACTATAACATAATTGTCAGAAACACATTCTTTTGATTTTGATTAAAATGTCGTTGGGAGAAAAGAGTAATAAACCAAGAAGTAGTCCCCCTCCCCACTTTTACAAAATGTTCTCGTTATTTACAAAATACAAAGTAGAAAAAGTAAACTTTAAGTGTACACTGTACAATGTACATCAAGTGTACAGTGTACATGAACAAGTAAAGCTTTCAAGAGTTTTTTTCTAAACCCGTTTATAAAATTCAAATATAAACATAAACATAAATGTTTTTGTTTTAATATCAGTTTAATGGACGAAAGATTGGGAGAAAATCCATGATTATGAATCAACCTTAACTTCCAGGGGGTAGGTAGGCTTGTAATTTGTATACCTTTTCATTACCGGCGATTGGGGGGATTTTTCTTGTCTCTGCAGTAGTCAATACTTTACTCAGATATCAGCTGAGAGCAGGGGAAAGCAAGGACCCAGAACACTAAGATCTTAAACCAGGATTTTATAGTTTAAATTCTAAGAAAATTGCCGAATAATTTGTAAAGAAGTTGATTACCAGTTTTTTTCCATTTTTTAACCAAAAAATATTTCTACATAACTTTTTGAAAATTAATTTTTAAAGTTTGAAGGGTTTATAATTACCTGGTGATTATAAGTTGTGTCCTGAAACCAGATTTAACTTGAAATGTAAAATATCACAGTTTCAGTATTCACTGCTCAGAGTATGCTCTTCACCTAGTGATACTTCTTCAGTCAGTGTTTGTAAGAAGATTCAGATATAGGTCTAGATTTAGGTATAGGTCTAGATTTAGGTCTAGGTCTAGATTTAGGTATAGGTCTAGATTTAGGTGTAGGTCTATATTTAGGTATAGGTCTAGATTTAGGTGTAGGTCTAGATTTAGGTATAGGTCTAGATTTAGGTATAGGTCTAGATTTAGGTATAGGTCTAGATTTAGGTATAGGTCTAGATTTTTAGGTAAAGGTCTATATTTAGATAAAGGTCTAGATTTAGGTGTAGATCTATGACAATTATATATCATAAAAAATTAACATATGATTGATTTCATATTTTATCTAGAATAATTGTCTTATCTGCAAAAGTTTCAAATTTAATTTTTTTATTTCAACAAAAAGCGATTGTTATTTGTATTCACAATGTAATTTGATCAGATGTATCAAAATAAAAAACGCTGCAAGATTTAATCTTGATTAATTTGAGTAAATGAAAAACCAAAGACTTCAAAAAATGAAGACGTAAATCAGTTTGAAAGCCATCAAACTTTTTAATTTTCAAACAAAAAAAAACCAGAATAAATTAACGATCACATTTATCAAAACAATCTAATTTTCAAATTTCACAAAGTTTTTCTCCAAAAATCAAGATATTTCCAAATACTCCTTCCTACGCCTGATAATCTTTCTTTTGTTAAATAAAGTCTCAAGTCTATGCACACTGGTGGGAAATGTAAGCGCGCAAGACACTCTGTGCGTCATTTTCCAGCTTTATCCAGTTCTACCCCCCCCCCCCNAATTAATCAGTACCTATGTATATAATACCTATACTGAACCGGACCAATTAATCAGTACCTATGTATATAATACCTATACTGAACCGGACCAATTAATCAGTACCTATGTATATAATACCTATACTGAACCGGACCAATTAATCAGTACCTATGCATATAATACCTATACTGAACCGGTCCAATTAATCAGTACCTATGCATATAATACCTATACTGAAAATTCTACACACGTTTGTAACAATTCAGATTGTTTGAAAATATTTTTAAACAAATAAAAATGTGAAAGGAATTTATCTTTTTTTGTAAATGGAATTATCCTACAATTACAAATTAACAATTTTTGGTTTAGTGATGTCCAAATTACGGAGAAATAAAAACTTGAAATATCTAAATTTTTCACTCAAAACTCCATATATTTTATGTAGTACAGCTTTTATTTCGAAATATTTTGTATGCTCTTATATTCTTCTTTATGAATCACTCCAGATTTTAATGAATTTATGTAAGGTCGTCTCTAAAAGTCTCTTAGTGGAGTGAAGCATACTGGTTCCTGGTCAATTTAAATAAAGTTAAAGGAAAAGATTTTCTTCAAGTTTCTTGTTTATGTTCTAAAAAGATAGAACAATTTAATTTTTAAAACTAGGACTCAAGCATTGAACATTATGATATAATATACGCACATCTTCTATATCACAAAGTGATCGTAACTTTAGTTTAGGGATCTTCACATTGGATATCAAGATCAAGCGTTTAAGATTAACGATATTCACACAAAAGTTCTCATCTCAATTGTCATAAGACGAACCATCTATAAATTCGGGTTTCATGAAATTGTATAAACAATTTATTACGTTCTTTACAAAAAAAAGTTTATTTGCAATATATTATTCACAAGATTGCATACTATAATAACCATAATTCACAAACTTTATGCTTAAATTTGGATATAATTTCATTTACCGCGTTTTCACCAACATTACCGAACATTTACTTAGTTGTCCCAAGGGACGTTAAGTAACTTAACGTCCCGGCCCAACAAAGGGACATTGAGTTACTTAACGTCCCTGGACGTAAAATAACGGGCTCGGTCCAACAAGAAATTTAGATAAATCGTAAACAACTATTTTTTTAAATCACACAAATCATTTACTAATTGTCAGAGCAGGACACATTCCAATTATTCTGTTTTCAATATTCTAAATTATCAACATTTTTTTTTAAATTGCAGTATTTTATAAAAGGGACCTTTCGACGTAATTTCAAGATACCATCAGGTTAATTTTTTTACTAAAATTAGTTAGCAAAAAATGCGAAATTTCGCGAAAATTGTTTTCAAAAAATAATTTAGCGAAAGAAAAATTCCGCGCAAACCGTTGCTGCAACAATTAGTTGCGCAAAAAAACTTGTGAAATTCTCTGCTCTGAGAGCTCAGCATTAGAAGTTTTATTATATCATAGTTAATAATTTCTCTTCCATATTTTCTCGCAAAATTTTCGCATTTGTTTTTTTTTTCGCGAAATTTTCGGGGTTTTTTTGCGAAACAAATTAAAGTGAAAATTTTTGCACTTTTTGCGAACGACCGAAAGGCGAAAAAGTGCGAAATTTTAGGCGAACATTTTTTTTCCTAAACAAATTTATAGTTTTTAATTGCGGTTTCTTTAGGCAAAAAAAAAAAACAGAAAGGACATTTTTATAAGTTATCTCTTTATAAAAGACAGAAAAAATCGACGATATCTTCCTCATTAATATACAGTTAAAGTTTAAAAGTTATATATTCTCATATACTCTGTGTTTAAAGTTATATATTCTCATATACTCTATGTTTAAAGTTATATATTCTCATATACTCTGTGTTTAAAGTTAGAAGTAATTTTTAAAATACTTTGAGAGTCCTTTAAATCAAGAAATTTTACTGAAAATAAAGATAAAATGTTGATTTCCTATTGGCTGTTTCTAAATGTTTGGTTTGGATATATTTCTCGTGGATTGTTTCCAGCAATCCTCGCGCTTCCTCAGCTCTTAATCGTTCACTGGATCTTCGCCTTGTAAACAAAACAGTAATCTAGCAGGTTAAATTTATTAAAGACAATTAAAGAGATTGTTCACGAATTTGTTTTTCCTTTTTTTCAAAATTGGAGCTATGATGAGCTGGGAACTCTTGTATTGTGGATTTCGAGATCAATGTTTGATCTCAATCTTTTGTTAATCTGCGATAGTAATCGTAACCAGCAAGCAGGGGCATCTTTTGATATTTTCCTGGGGGGAATAGTTGAAATTTTGCGTGCAAAGCGCGGCGAAATTTTTCATCCCCACTCTCTGGCAAAACAATTCCATCCCTCCTGGATTTTTTATAGCGAATTTGGTCATTTTTATGTCATTACTATGAGCAGCTTGGAGGGTGGAAGGTCAAAAACGTGTTAAAAAGATTTGGGTTAAAAAAGATTAAATTTGAGTAAAAAGTGGCGCCGCAGCCAAAACATTTTTGAATCTATTCTAAAAATCTAAACTAAAGGACTAGAAGGTGCATGCTAATGCTCTCTCTTCTTGCGCTCCTAATTTTTCCCGGGAGGGGAAAAGCATATATTTTTTTATGATTCTTAAATTAAGTTTGCCCAAAGCGAATATTGAGATCAAGCTATTGGAATTCTTAGTATCCAAAACAAAAGTTCCCGGCTCTTTGAAACTAATTAAACCAGACTTTTAAAGATCTGTTCCTGTTTGAACTAAAATAACAACGCAAAAAATGATCAGGATTTTTAAAACTTATCTTTAAAAACCGTTGTATTAAAATGCTCAATAACAGTTTAAATTATCATATCTAAATAGAATAAGAACAGATCATCTGATCATTTGATTATAAAAAGCATGAACACTCCATTAAAAGTGTTAACTGATTTATTGCAGCCTGTGCATGTATGGTCTGTAAATGTCTACAGAAAAAAGATCGTAATTAACAGGATTACTCAAAAAGAATGAGACTTGTCTACAGAAAAAGATCGTAATGAACAGGATTACTCACAAAGAATGAGACTTTATGAACGATCTGGAACTATTTATCTGTGCTGGTCTAAACATTGAATTTGATCCTCTGTCCTTATCTTTAAAGAATTACTAATTGCTAAATGAAGTTAAAGGGACTGTACAGGAAAAATGAAAGGGGGTATAGGCTGAAAGCTAATCACTTTAGCTCTTGATCGCGACCCATGAAAGTTTTATCTGATATTCCTATCTCGAGAAATTGATATACAACTGTGCTAAAATTATACAAAAGTTCACATATGTAAAATTTAGAAAATCTAAAAATCTATTACTAATAGCAGAGCAGCATACTGGTCACGTGTCTCCGCCTGAATCACGTGACCACTTTACTGCACGACCATTGGTGGAATTTCTGGTCAAGTCAACCCACTACTTTTATACAAAATTGTATATATATTAATTTTCGTATAAATTTGACACAGCACGTATATCAATTTCTCGAGATAGGAACATCAGATATAACATTCATGGGTAGCGATCAATAGCTAAAGTGATTAGCTTTCAGCCTATACCACCTTTTATATTTCCTTTACAGTTCCTTTAAAGAAGCACGTTACTGTTTGTGCAAGGTAAACCCTTGATTAAATATGTAGTTGTCTTTGAAGTCTCGTCCTGTGTGCAGTAACCCTGTATTTCGGCCATTTTTAGATTTTACTCGGTCATCGCTTTTCAATTTTATCATTTTACAATTTCTTTACTAATTCTCTAACACCCCCTCCCTTTCTCTAAAACACCCTCAACCCCACCACTCTTCCTTCCTCTGGAACCCTTGAACCCCCCNTTCTCTAGAAGGCCTGCAAAGTTCCCTGTATAGTATAAGCTAATTTCCCCCGGTCTTGATGACCTACTGTGATCCAACAAACAAGTTGATTACTCCTTTTCTACATTATAAATCACTTCTCAGATATTTGCACGGAACTAAACAAATACTAAAATAGAATATGCTTTTTTTATGGTGCTAAATGAACCGTACCTCGCCATAAAACAAATCTACGTTGTTTTTAAAACGATGTCACAATTTCTTAATCCCAAGTTATGTTTTTAGTGGGCCTGTGGCCGAATTTAAAGAATTTGAGCGGCGGTTTAAATTTAAGCCGCGGCTTAAATATGGTTGGTTCCACTTAACCCTATCCCTGCTGGGGTACTTGAAAACCAGGATACGCTTGGGGGGGGTCAATTTGACCCCCCCCCCCTCTAAATCCCATGTTTTATGTCCAAATATGACAAATGATACATCATTAGAAAGCTCTTGTTCAACAGCCTCAGACCAATACTTTTTGAGTTATGTAAAAAAAACTACAGGGGGGGGTCAAATTGACCCCCCCCCCAGCGGGAATAGGGTTAAAATTGTATCAAATGTTTCAAGATTTATGCCGGCGCTTAATTCAAACCGGGTTTTGGCGGATTTAAACCGCGGCTCAAATTCTTTAAATTCCATCTCTGTTTTAACAGTAAATATAGACAAACTATTGTCAGTTTGCATGAAGAAGAAATTGTTTTTTTTTTGGCTAACTTTATACGATTCAAAATGTACCTGTAAGGTCCCCAAATTTCCACAACTTTTACAAGATAATTCGCTACTTCCTAAATAAAAAGTTATCCTAAGGAATTGTTCATCTAGCTATCTGAAAATACACATGATAGTCCAATTTTGGAATCAGGAACACAACCAAGTCCATTTTATCGTTAAAAAACATCCCATGAGGACCATGAATGATTTTAAACCTTCACTTTTTAAACAAGAAACCCCGGTTTATTTATGAATTTTGTGAAATGTCAAGTTTAAAAGAAAACCAGATTATCTGAGAAAAGGCATGGCTAGTTTGAAAGAAAGTGGTTCAACACGCATCTTGGCTCTTAATTAACCAAGATACTTTAAAGAATGTGGTTTAATTAGTAACTATCTAAGAGGTGACTAACTCCTGGCTTCATGCAATTCTACAATGAATGAAGAAGCAACTACTGATCTGTGCAACCAAGAATAATAAGCTTCTTTGTTTTTAGACATAGAATACAACGTTCTTGGACAGATTTATTTATTAATTATTCATTTATCAGGATATGCGCCTAATACCTCTAAAAGTACATGAAACCCGCCCATTAGATCCCCAAAGGACTATGGGCGGAATCGAAAGATAGGACAGGCCTTGTATAGTTTTCTAAAGTCTACAGGGGTTACTGAAACAATGTAACGCGATTTCATAAGCCCGAGTCGGGGAGNGGGGGGGGGGGGGTATGATACCTCAAAGGTTGTCATTCACAAATTTTTAGAATACTACCAACACATCTTGTTTTTTTTTATGAGTTCAAAACTAGCACTAATTTTCAACGCTTCACCATGGACTAATTGCATTAATTTTTTTTCAATTTGAATTTAATCGCGCGTTTAAAACTCAACAATCTTAAAGTTTACTGAGTTGCCGTAATATACGTTTTTTTATTTAAAATGCATCCGGCGACAAAAAAGGTACAAAGAGAAAAACGAATTTTTTAAATTTTTTATTTGTCAAATTATGATTAAAAAACTGCAGAGCTTGTTAAATCTTCGTGGCTTGATCCCTTAATTTTAGTAATCCCTTGTCCGAATTTAATGAATTTGAGCCGCGTCTTAAATTCGCTAAAAACCGGTTTCAATTGAGCGCCGGGTTAAATCTTGAAACATTGAATACGATTAAAAGTGGAAGCAACGTCATATTTGAGCCGCGGCTTAAATGACTGACTACTGACGACAAAAGATTCACAACACAGAAGTTTAGACCTCTGCGCGAATCCGTATCTTTATGATATGCAAGGTTTGATATTATAAAAATACTAAGTATGGAAAAATACTTGATGTGAAATAAATTCTATAAAATTTCTGAACTTGTGTTTCTATGCCGTATACAGATGTTTAACCATCATGCAATTCTTTCTGCTTGTATGCACTAGTTTATAACTCGGCTTAAAGGGACTGTCAGCGTAATATCCGTGAACCTCTTTCCTAAGATGGCAATTGCGCGATTCACAACGGTACCCTTAAAAGCTTTGTCTGATCAAGAATGAATTAGATATCAGTGTTTATAATTTTAAATAAAGATTATTTTCAATTGTGATTTCACTACAAAAGTGATTTGCGCATTTCCATTGCAAGAAAATGTATTGGAATTATCAGAATTGTACACCCAAACCTTGAAACCTGGAAAGGTTTTAAGGGTACCGTTATAAATCGGGCAATGTCATATTTGCATGAATGGTCAATTGAAATTACGCATACAGTCCGTTTAAACCCCGGCTGTTCAGATTAAATCCTAGATCCAGATATATGCGGTTAAATTATGATTGTTAAAGTAAAGTGATTGTTTTTAAATTTGGGGTATATATCTAGATACAAAATGAAAATTCAGTTGATAGATAATTGTTTGAAATATTATTCATTTAGCGCAAATTAATAAAACTTAATTTAGTTCTGGTAAAAAAATAGTCATCTTTATAAAGGTTCTCTGAGTATTAATAATGTATACTTTAATGATTTAATCTATATATTGCATGTATGTTGTTAAACAAAAAGTTAAATTTTTTAGGAAATATGCAAAAAGAGATTAACGCAGGTTCAAGTCACTGACTTACAAAACTTGTTTTTGAAATCATTTTGTTGCCTTAAATACACGATCAAAAGAGTTCATGAAAAACGCATTTTTCCAGTTTATATCCAATGAATGAAATACATACAGAGTTAGTTACCCACTGAATAATTAGAATTCATAATTTATAATGTCAAAATTTATAAATAAGCCAGTTTAAAGGTCACGTTAAATTCAAACTTGGGATCGCCATATTTGAATAGTTTCAAGTCGTCTTTACAGTCTCATCATTTGTGGGTACCCCTGTATATTAACTGAAAACTCTGACCTAAATTACTGTACTGACTTTGAGGCATGTTAAAGTAAGGTACTAATGCAAGTAAAGTTATTTCAGAGGTGTACGTATTTTTTGTACTGCAGTGTACTGTCTTTGGGCGGAAAGGTCAACACAAGACGGGTGTCACAGCCTGACATGGAATCAATTTTCACAAAAATAATCTATGAACTATTCTGGTCATAAGAAACTACCAGAGAGAACTGGTTTCAATATGTACGCAGAGTATACGCGACCGCAATTAACTTTCCTTGCATTAGTACCTTGTGTTAAAGTAAGTTGGACAGTACACAGTAGACGACAAAACGGACAGTACATTAGATGAAATATCTCCTTCTAGTGAGATTAATATGTACTGTACCTCCATACAGGTATTGAGCTGAGGGCCTGTCATCTCCATTGCTACATATCTCTTTTTACCAAGCCAGTACAGGGCTTCTCCACAGTGAACTAAACATTTAATAAAGGAATTACGTCTTTGCCAAAAACTCGATTTTCTAATCACTATGTTTTTGAAACCCAATGTCGTATATATAGATATAAAAAGCTACGAAATCTCTTAGATCGAATAATCTACAAGTTTGAAATTTCAAAGATTTACACCACAATGTTGTAATGCTGAAGGGATTAGAAAGTTTGAGTTTGTGGCAAAGGCTCAATTCATTTACAAAAATGAGGAAAGAGGAAAGAAACCTCTGTACCTCTGCAACCTGATCTCTGAAACATTTGATATTTTAAACTATGAATTTCAAACTATTAACTAGTTTTAGTCTATAGAATAGGATATCCTTAATCCCGATCGCTTAATTAATCTGGAGATTAATAACATGAGGAGAACAAGCCTTATTTAATCTGGAGATCAAGAAAAAGAGGAGATCAAGCATTGATCTCGATATCCACCATTCTAAAGTTTTCAGCTCTGGTTTCACAAATATACAGATAAGAAAATATAATTTTCTGCGAGTGTTTAGTTTCATAAGTGCATAAGAAATAAAACGTGAAAACTATTCCTAATGATTTCCGCTTTATTTCTATATTTACTCCGAAATGTATTTAATTTAAAAACAATTAAAGCGAAGCCAATTTCAAAATTTAATTTTTCCTGAGGCCGGAACTAATGAATATCAAGAAATATTTGAGCTAGGAACGAATAGTTATTTAGTGTGGTCGAGAGTTCATTAAAGAAATGCTAGAACTAGCCGTTCAAGATACTTAGTTAGCTTTTTATCAAATCCTACCTCTGATCGATCTTACATTTAATACCTGACATATACGCCCTGTACTCAGATAACCCAGGAGCAACAACCTTCTGTAGGTTGAGATGATCCTTACAGAACTCAACCTTCTTCTCCAACCATGGTATTGCAACAGATTCGTATTCGTATCCCTTGGTTTCACCTAAACATATTCTATAAAGTAAAAGTTCTTATAAAGTATTTCCTGAGCTGTAAATTCTTGTATTGTGGATACTGATATCAATGCATGATTTTGATCTTTTGTTAATCTGCAGATTAATCTAATCTTTATTCGATATCCCGCATGGATAATCGTATAACACAGCCAGGGGTTGAAGGGATCTTTGATGAGGGGAGAAATAACTTGTATTTAATTCTAAATTTGTCGCTAAGAAAATTAATTAAGAAAAGTCGTGACTTGTTATAACCGATTTTTTAATAAAATTTTTGTGGGGCATATATTTAAAAAATTAAATCAGTTTAAAGTTGTAATTAGGATATTATTTTATAATAAAAAGAAAAATACGACATTCATTCCGCAATTTTTTGTATCCACTGTACGCTGTATTTATAAATAATAACTGTAATAATTTTTCCTTGGTTAAAGGGACTGTAAGCTTATTTTTTAAATACTCTCCCTGCAAAGATAGCAATGTCCGATTTGTAACAGTACTCTTGAAACCCTAATCTCATCAAAAATGTGGATTTTTTTTTTACTCGAAAAGTGCTTATTTCTGTGAATTTCTCCATTGTTTCTTATAAAGCCAGAAATGCGCAAATCAGTTTTGCAACCACACAAATGAACATAAACAGTTTAAAGAAACAAAATCATGCATATAATAATTCATACGTGATTAGGGCACCGTTGTAAATCGGACATTGCCATTTTTGCATTTAGGGTCATTTTAAATTATACGCTTACAGTCCCTTTACAGTCTCTGTTTACCTATGTTCTCAATAATCCTTCGTTTGACCTCCATACAATAATAATGATTTGGATCAAATACTTCCTTCATCTTCCTCAGCAGTTCCATCAGTTTTATCACATCAAACTTAGGATGATCCTCCATAGTGTTCCACCTGAACTCATCATATATATTACTATACAATGATGCATCAATATTAATGTTAGTTTACACAAATTTTGAAGGGCGCTGCGACATTTTTGCTGGTAACTTTTTGCTAGCGGCATTTTTACCATATGACTATACGCCCGTGCTAGCCTCAGCGCTCGGCCCCCTTGGTTCATCTAAGAAAAGCCAATTTTTGTCCATAATAAATATAAATATAATAGTGGATGTTTTTCACATTGAAAAAATGATAGCAAAAGAGACAAAACTGACGTTGCAAAAATCGGCTGTACCGATTTGGCCCATAAAATTTTCGGACCTGCCACGGCCTGTCAGGTTCTTTATATCTTGTTGGGATTTAAAATATTTTATAAAAAATTTCGGAAATTTTGTTGTTTAACTTAGAAAACAATTTAAAAATGTACAAACTTTTTGTTGTTGAATTCTAATGTACGAAGTAAACAGAACTACTGATAAAAGGAAACTTGAAACATAGTATTTAATACTGGTTTATAAATATGTTTCTCACCAAGTATTGATTGTATTGACAACAAATTTTCTAGGTTGACTTCCATAACAGCTTCCACAAATCCACTCACTATCACTGAAATTAATTCATTTTAAGATCACATTGGTTGTAAATTTGAGGATTCACTGCCAATGGGACGCAAAATTTCATCGATAATATTTCAATTTTGCAATAATTGGTTGAGGTTGCTTTTTGGAATAGGCTGACCTCCCCATGGTAAATAATTAAAGCTTTGATCATAAACTTTCTAAATGTTTTTTTTTTTTTGCATTGTGTGACGCGTAAAGTGTCTTTCTGTAATCTTTGTTTTACTGCGCTGATATTTAAAAGAAAATTAAATGTCGTCTTCTTGGGATATATGTAAGAATCCGCAAGTTACAACAAATTTACTTCATTTTCATTCTTTTCATTCTTCGTTACCCTTGGAAACCAATTTAAAGGAAGTGTTAGCAAAAGTTGAAAGGATGTATGGTTGATACCTAATATATTCACATGAGCATTAGATTGATACCAATTTTAATGTTACAGCTGTGACCCCCCATTCATTTTTGCGAACAGTCCCTTTAAAACTTTATTATGATTTTTTACCTGGAATCGTTGAGTGGCAATAATCTGCCAAGAGTACAGTCTGGACAGATGAGAGAATCCGACATAGTACCAAACTCAGACGGATCCTTGCAACGACGACATTCACATTTAAAATGCCAGAAGGACGAGAGCTCAGGGTTGCGGTAGCTCAGTCCAAATGCATGGTAGTGATAGTGGAGGTAGTTGGTCGTTAGTTCTTCACCTAGATACAGGTTGATAAAGTTCAAAAAGGAATCGTATTTTTCTTTATAGTGGCATTTATCGATTGTAAATCATAAAACAGTTACACCAAAAAAATGTTGTTCTAGAATTTCCAAAATTTGGTCTCCTAATCTTTAAAATGTTGTAGAGATATACAACTGGCTTGATTTTAATTTTTTTATAAATCTTTGTCAATTTTAAAATACAGCTACAGGGTGTTCCACATCATATTGAATCATGTTATACCAAGCTTTAAATTGCGATCTCCGGGACTAATCAGAAAATTTAAAAAGAACGAATCATTAAAAAATTGTATATTGCTAATAATATTGCTAATATAAAGATTTGCATGCCAGAAAATACTAGGTTCTGCGAGTTATAAACAATCTCATCAATTTTTAAGACAGGGTCGACTTTGAACTTAGATTTTACCGCTCTAACTCTCCTATGCTTTTCCGTAGCTCTTTACAGGTATATTTTAGCACTGTAAAGCACTTGTTACCTAGAGAAACCTCCTAAACTTTTCAGTTTATAAAACATTTTTGGTCCTTCGATAATGATACCGAAAATGAACCGACGATTTAGTATTCGTCTCTTAATTTTCTTGTTCATCGGTTCCCGTATACTTTATACATTAAGGTTACATAAGACTATTTTCTGAAGGTTTAATGTCCTTACATGTCAATTTACATAAAAAAGTTAGATTTTGACTTGTAATGAGAGTTTTATGTTTAGATTTAGACACACTTTGGATCTTAAGTACAGCGGCTGTTTCATGATGATAGAGTTCTGAGCTTGCGACTTTGAAATTATTGAAACCTTTTTTTTGGAGAAAATTTTATTTGGAAAAAGTTCATTTGGAAGTTTTTTTTTTAAATTCATGAACTTCTATGGAAAGCCACATTTTCTTAACTAAATACTTAATTTTATTGATTTTTTTTCACGAAGTCTTTAATAATTTACCTTTTTTAATATCCGTGACAGCTCTGCAAGTGAATGTGAAATCGTTCCCAGCAAAACAGATTGTGTTCGCAGAACAGGAATGGTTTAGAATAGACGTAATTGGAAATAAGCCCTAAAAACAAAACAAAAATATAATAAATATAATGTTATTTGTTTTGTTATATATAAATCAGTTATTGTTTTTGTAAAAATAATTCTAAAATAATATTGAGTATAGTTATGAATAATACTTTTGATATTATTACTTTACTATATCTATATCTTAAAACAAGACATATATATATATATATATATGTATATATATATATGTTGCCTATAGCCGGCCAAACTTCCGGACCGATTCAGCTGAAATTTTTTGTGGACACTCAGAAGTGGCCGGGGAGTCTTACAGACTGTAAAAAATTAGAAATATTTTTTTCAAGTTGTTTTTGCATTTTTTTTTCACGGGCAACGCCGGGCCCTTCAGCTAGTTAGTCTATTATTATTAAAATTAAGTAGTTATGAATATTAATAAACCTGGAGATCAACGTCTTTGTTGGGATTCTCTCCAATAATATACGCATTCGTATCTACGATACCTACAGATAGATTTAATTATTTCAGGGGAAAATCAGAAAAAAAATTATCTTATTTTTTCTTCATTATTTAGTCTATTATATTTCTGCCATGCTTTAAGCCGCCATATTGAAAAATTTCTCTTCTTTTTTTAGACGGAAAACAAATTTAACACAAGTTTTTTGTATAAAAAAATATATGTTTAGTAGTCTACGTTGCATCTGAACAATCCTTTTATAAGATAAATCTGACCCATGAGATGCAGGATTTCCTTCTCTGAGAACTGAGTGAGCTTACAGTGGTCTCGGATAAAGGAGATTACACCTTTCTAAACCATCAGCTTCAAACATTTATCAGTCTATCCAGAGTGTCAAGCTGCAGATATGCTTGCTAGAAACATAATGGATAGAAACGCAGTTACTAGAACAAAAAATATAATAAATGACCTTCCGTTAAAGTCACCAGACCATTATTTTCATGCATTTTACAGTTCTCGAGCACTAGCCTACACAGCACTGTTTTAAATGTTTACAAAAAAACAGAATTATCTATACGCGAATGTATAGGATCTGCGTTTCCACCAATCATATCTGCACCGTTTCAAACAACAAGTATTAGTAATTTTTTGTAATGAATAGAAAAATAAAACTTGGATATTTTGAACAGTTCAAGCATTTCAATCTTTAATTTTCGTGTTTTTCCTTACAATACAAGTTTTCTTTCCAGACAAAACCATTGTTTTTACCCTGGTGCCTATTTATCTTCTATTTGATCTATGGATATATATTTTTCTTCTATTTTATCTATGGATATATTCCTCTTCTATTTGATCTATGGATATATTTCTCTTCTATTTTATCTATATCTATATCTATATCTATATCTATATCTATATGTAAATTGAAAAAGGTAATCGGTTTCCTTTGTTTTAGTGAGCTCTTTATCTACGTCTAGATGATCCATGAGAATATCAATCAGATCCCAAACTTCTCTTTTATTCTCTTTCAACCACAGTAATCTAAAATCAAATATTTAACATTTACAATAGTTAGTTAAACAGAGATTGGAATTAACTTTTGTATAGAGTATAATTTGAGGATAAATAATTGAAACCTCAATAAAGGTAACCCTGTGCAGGGTATAATAACCACGGTATATTGAAGATGAATTAAATAATAATATGGGGATCAATACTTGATTCAGAGTTTTACAAAACATTAAAGTTCTAACTTCAGTTTTTCTTATTTAGTGATTTCATGTGACATTTTAACAAAGAGAATAGAATATATATAAGAGTGGAATTTAGAAAATCCCTCGGTATGACTTTTGTCAGTCCATTTAAGCCTGAAAGGGAGTTCAAAGTGTACAAATCATGTAAATGTTCACAAATTATATATAGTAGAGTACATTAATACAGTATGTTTCCTAAACTATCCATTTGAATTTTGAATCTTTTAAAGCTGTTAAATAAACTTTATAAAATGAATTAGGTGAATAAAAAACATCATTTGATTTATAGTTAAAACGGAAAATCATCGTTTGTAAAGTGAAAGGCAAAGAGTCTATGTGAAATGATCATTGGTCAATTATGAAACCAGCCTATTTCATAATTTGGTTTTCTTTTAATTATTAATTTTAGATTTTCTAGAAGTTATAAAGCACAAATATGTGAAGTACACCTGCAGTATGGAAACAGTACAACAAAATGGCTGTTTTAAACTTTTTCTAGTAAATTCCACTCTAAAATATATATTATTCTCTTTGCATTTTAAACAAAAACACAAGTTAGTTCTCAACTTTAATATTCCACATTCACATGAACGAGGGAGCAAAACCAAACCCTGGGAGCAACTCCAAAACCCTGAGAGCACTCCAAAACCCTTGTGTTCCCCCGCACCCCGGGGGGCCCCCCCCCCCCCCCCCCCTCCATGAACCGAATAAGGAATATAATGTAAAATTCCCAGCCTCACAGGAGAGCTGTTGGAAAACAGTTTTAAGATATCATAGCTCTCCTGCTGCAGTTAGTTTACACATTTAATGTACTAATGTTTTCTTAATAACTGTTATAATTTATTATTACTGCAGTAAAATATTTGATTTGATTTGATTTGAAATATGTTAGATTTTCAATTTTTTTTTCGCTGACATTTTTGTTGTAAATATGGGATTATTTTAAGAATAAAAATATCAAAATTAATTTGAATAAAAATCCTTTTTTATTTATTTTTTATCTCATTGATTTATGTTTGTGAGCTTTATAAAGTTTGGGGGAACTGTTAGATACACTGTTATCCGCAAATGATGAGACTTAATTCACGACCTCAAATATCTTGATCAAAGTCTGAAAGTTAGATTCGGTTTAATCTTGTAAACGCTATAAATAATGTTGATGTTGATTGGAAAGTGATCAACACTTCTTGAAATATAATGCATTATGATTGACAGGGACATGTAAGCTTTAATTTCAAATAGATCTTTGCATGGAGAGTCACTTGAAATTACGCTGACCAGTCCTTTTAATTTTAAACTTTATTCAAAGGTTGGATTTTTTTGTATGAGATGGCCTTTAATATTGATCTGGATTTCCATGACGTTAACTTTAACATGTTAACGAAAAAGGGCCTAATCCGCCAGAAACAAATGAATTGTATTCTATTTTTAACCAAGGGCAGATTTTTTGTGTTTCCTCTATTGGGCGGACCACAAGGAATTAACTTAATTAGATAGCTTATGTACGCAAAATCACCAAGAATTGTTCAGTCCACGAACTCATACTTTTAGGGGTCAAAGTGTACTTCAATGATAAGAAGGGTGGTTTGGTGTTTTAATGGATTTCATAATAAAGTGTAAAATAACTCCGGGAATGTAACTATTTGAACAACAATATTTCACTGAGTAATATATCATATTGACGAGAACTGAAGAAGGACATGAGAAGGACAAAGCTAGTTTAAATTTCTCTCTACAGAACTCATGTACACCACAAGTACTCAATGACATAACAACAGCCAATATGTTCACAACCGACCTAGTTAATCTATAAAATAGGAATATCTTTAAAACATCTCTGTACATTTATATCTTTCAAGATGAAAAATGTCGTCTTATGGATCTATGGATAAGATACGGATTACTGCTTTCTTAACCGATTTGCAATACAAAAGTTCAGGTCTTAGATTTCGCTTGCTTCTTATATGAATTTGGTTTGAATACCTGAGTACCATAATTGCATTGTAGGACGGACAGCTGACCTTATAGTCCTCGATACTGAACCTGAAATATCATAGTTGATTTTACCACCTTTTGACCAGCATTATACCGACTTATGATTCCCCCAGCAGAGGGACGTTAAGTTACTTGACGTCTCTTGGGCTAAGTAAAATAACGACCCACTCTGCGAGTTTTTTGGTTGGAATAAATTCGCACATTTTCATCTCAAAAGACGATAAAATTTTTACAAGTAATATCACGGAAATTAAAAATTTTACTTAACCCGGACTGCCTGTGCACGGTGCATTCCAGTTCATTTCATGTACCGGGCCGAATTTCAACTAGCCAGTGCAAGGCAAACGGGACTGTACGTGCGAGTGAATGATCCCCTTCTAGTGAAATTTATGTGCGGGTTCTCTCCTTAAAAACATTTGGTCTTCGGATACCTTGGTAAGGTAAAATATATCTTACCTTCCCTGTAAAGTAGGTGTAAATAATTATATTGAGAGAAAATAGTTTACTGGTTTGACAATGCTAGAAATCTCATCAATTATGCATTTAAATTCAAATTGAATAAAATTAATTGACAACAGGTCGTTTTGATTCAACTGAACCAACCATAATTAGATTTCTCTTTTAAAATAATTTTTTTTCAACTGTGTATCCTAATCAAGGATTGTAAGGCAAGGAAAGTTATTTCAGAAGTGTACACATCTTTTGTACTGCAGTGTGCTGTCTCTGGGCGGTAATGTAAACACAAGACGGATGTTGAAGCCTGAAATGGGATCCATCTTTCACATAAAAAATCGATTAAATATTCTGGTCATAGGAAAGAAACTATTATGTGAATTATCAAAATTTTCAAAATTTAATGCTTTTAACCTCCTCGGATACTAAACGAACACTGATGCATCTATTCTTGTTTACAAATTCCGCCCAAAGAGAACTGGTTTCAATATGTACGCAGAGTATACACGACCGCAATAATCTTTCCTTGCCTTACATTCTTGATCCCAATTAACCTAATTCGTGCAAATCAATTTTGATCTTTGAGAGTTATTGAATGCAGAACTAGTACGACTAGTGGAATATATTAATAAATTAAAACTTTAGCAATTGTCTTTAATCTCAGCAAAGGAACAGAGTTCTTACCACAAACTGTACTATAATATCTATATCTTTGCAATCCAATGTCGTAGACTTTTGATGTTTCAAAAAAATTCTGTGAGAGCATAGAGTCTAAGTTTGCGAAGGTTTTCACCATTATGATTCATGCATGGTGCAAAGATAGGGATTAAAGTGACAAACTGATAGTGATAGACCAAACCTCTGTAGGGTAAAAAAAGTAGATGTTAGTTACACATTTATTGAAAATATATTTCGGTCTGGGTTGACCCTCGTCAGTTCTAACGATACAATAACTATCAAAATCGAATAAATTTTTTTTTTGAAAACCACAAGAAAATAAACAAACAAAAATTTTTTTTTTTAATTTGGGCTGTCAAATGGACATAAGGGAAACGAACTCAGATAATAAGATGGAAAAAAAGATAATTTGCAAATATTCACTTTTAAGAAAAATGTTTTAAGACAATAAAGTGAAAAAGTTTATGGATAGAATACAGTTTCTTCGAAACAATGCAAACCAAACTTTTTGAATTTCCTGGATAAGAAAAATATGAACATAACTTTTTCAGGATCTTTCTAGCATTTTTCAAACACAATTGATCAAATTTTAGAACGAATATTATTTGAAAGTTCATATTAATTGCGACAAATTGTGAAGCTTACCTTGGTGAATGTATCTGAAACAGACAACATTCTCTAGCATGAGGTCCATCGTCTACTTGGCAGTACGGACTACAGAGAGGCCAGCTACAGTACCTGTACAGTACACGTATATAATATATATATATATATATATATATGTATATATATATAAATTTATATATAGATGACCTGAGCAGAAAACTTTAGAATTGGATATCCTTAATCCTGATTGCTTAATCTTAATATCCACAGCGGAAAATTTTGATTTTATTTTTAATACACTCGGTGACTCGTTGGATATCTTACTTCCTAGTACATGTAATAAAGATACGTTAATTAAAAATACAGATACGATGCTATATCGATTGGACTAATTATCCGATTGAACTAAAGTCACAAGCCGGCTTTTAGAGCATTTAAGCAAATATAAAGTTAAATCATGCTATTATGAACTTATTTTATCACATTTAAGGACTATAGTCCTTTTGAACATTAGTCTTAATAAACATTAATCCAAAGCGTACATTCGTTCAGTCGACCAATTGTCCAATTGATATGACCCTACAAATGCGGGAAAATTAAAAACCGGGTTTTCAAATTTCATTTCTAATCTCTAGAAATTAATCTGAAGACTAAATTAGTCTTGAGATTAGCAAAAAGAGAAGATCAAGCATTGATCTCGATATCCACCATTCTAAAGTTTTCAGCTCTGGTTAATTATCCACTTGACAGTACGTCTTTTCCAAAATGAATGAATGCAGATGCTGAAAAAATCTTATTAAAAAATCAAACTGGGGGGGGGGGGTTAGAGGAATATGTTCACAAATAAATCTATTCTAGATCAAAAAGCCATGTATTATCACAATAGTTTATGAAGTAAAAAAAGGTCAAGGTATCGGAAAAGTATTCAATTCCTTAAAAGGAAGCTGAACAGTAAAATACATATATAAGACTACCTGCAGCGGTAGGTCAGCCCTGGCAATCTCTTGTAGCAGGTTAAACAAACCGGTTTAGGATTATTATCAGGTCCAACAGCTGCAGGAGCATCAGTAAATATCGTCTCACCCTCCTTTATATCTCTACAACAAGAAAATTAAGAAAAAGCTGAAAAAAGCCATGGTTAAAATTTTAGGAATGGAATATTCAGCTTTTTCGTTTACAAAATATTGCATTAATGCCATTATTTTATCAGTTTTCCTGAAGAATTGACTGCAGAGGTAACCAGAGAAACAGTAGAAATCTTGAAATACAATTGACTGCAGAGGTAATCATGGAGAAACAGTAGAAATTTTAAATTTAAAAGAAATAAAGAAGACAACATGGATTTCTGTCCCTATAAGAGATGAAAGGTTTTGGGCTACTTTGTAATAATTTCTTCTACAGGATTACACACAAAGGGTTCAATTGAAGCTATGCATATTCATTAATGAAGATGCATAACAATCTTATTATTTAGGATCTGAAGTTTGAATGCGATGTTCTGTCTTGTTTGAAGGTCTTATATGATATAATAAATGATATGGCAAGGAAAGAACAAAGTTTTTAGTTGCAGACAGCCTAGAGTGCACGATGAAAACTTAATGAAAGAATTGAGTTTGATCCACAAACTCTGTATATCTTTTCAACCTAATGTTGTAGACCTTTGATATTTGAAACTAACGAATGTTTTAGATTGAATAGTCTAAGATTAAGATATCAGGAGCAAAGGTATAGGTTGAGAAAATTTGAGTTTGTGACAAAACTCCGTTTTCCCGTACAGTCGTCTCTGAAGTCTTATCCTTTGTATGTATCGACTATCATTATGATAATTTCAAATTCATAAGAATGGTGCAAAAACTTATTTTTTTAAATCTGAAAAAATTATTAATTCAAATTTAAAAAGAATTAATTGTTACCTGGCAGCCATGAGAAGACGACCACACCTATCCTCGTGAAGGATAGTGTAGGAAAGACAATCATGAAGATCATTCTTACCATCCTTCAGCTTGCACATTGTTGAGCAGTACACGGTGGAGTTGCAGGACTTGCAGGGGATCAGGGCGGAGTTGGGGGCGGAGCACACTGTGCACGGTTTAGTAGGCGGAGAAGGCGGAGATTCCTCGTCTAGATACAGTGGTAGGCGATTATATCAATATAATGAAGACGAATTTTTGTTTAAGTTTTGATTGTTAACAAGCTTTTATAGAATTACAAGTTTACAAGTATAAATAAAGAGAAGTTTTTTTAATTGACGGCTTCTCTTTTTTTCCATGTTTTTGTCTGCCCATGCTGTTTAAAAGCTTGATATAGTTCAGAATTGAAATCAAAAGTCGTCTTCTTTATATTGATATAATCGTCTTCCACCGTATAAGAATTAAAATTTATGAAGTGAGACCCATTAAACTGTAGAATAAGAAGACGATCTTTCAGTAATCTCATGTGTGCAAGGTGTTGTTACCACCAGCAGCTGAAAAGTTTTACTTATTAAGTGTACCGAGTACACTGCACAATAGCTGTGTTTTATTTTAACTAAATTATCTAAAATCAAAACATGAGTCTAAAGATCGGAAAACACTTTTATTCGATTTTTTTATTTTAATCCGCAAAGGTCATTATTATGGCAACACAGGATGAAGGATGATACTTAAATGATGAATGAGTAAGAATGAAGGATGATACTTAAATGACGACATTAAACTATTCAAATATGATTATAGGATTAAATTTGGTCTTCTGTCGTCAATTGGATATATTTAAATGATTTTGCAAATAAAGAAGCTGATTTTATTTAAAAACGTATTTTCGTATCTCGAGTCTCACCCTTTAAAGGTAACCCGTCTGTTTTAAGGTGATCCTTCATTTTGTTTAAAATCTGTTTAAAATAACCCTAGCTCAACCAATTAATTCCTTATTAAATTTTATTTTCTAAAATTTTATCTATCTGAGTTGGTTCGATACAAATTTGCGTTATTTGTTCTCTTTTATTAATGATTCTAAGCTTTCAAAAGAGTATTCAAAAACTGCAATTTACTTTATCATACAATGAATTAAATCGGACAGGATTTCCATAAAAACTTTCATAAGAACGAAAATTTCATTTACAAGCGAAATTTTTAGAATAAAAATGCCTGGTAAGGTATTTTTTTAACCTTTCATAAAGCTTAAAGGGAGTGTTCGCGAAAACTGAAAGGGTATAGGCTTAATGCGATAAAAAAGCGCTTTAGATCGCTACTAATCTTACTTCATATCTGTTGCGTCTATAAGGAGAAAATTGTTAAAGACGTCTCATACCGAATAACTTAGCGCCCATACAAATTGAGAAAATTGCAACATACGACTTAAACCGTAAAAAATCAATTTAATTTCAAACAAATCATTCAGATATTACAACCTATAGTCATCGATTATCTTTCACCACATTTGTATATAGTTTATATTTTATAATTATTAATTGGAATTGTTAATCTTGAACGTTAATATCAATATCCAATGTGACCACTTTCAAGTTTGAGAATAAATACTTGGCCTTCAATTAAACTTATGGCCTGGCCATCACGGGATATCGAAGATGAATTAAATTAATCTGTAGATGTAAATAAAATGGAGATCAATGCTTGATCACAAAAGTTCAAACTGTAGTAAACATTTGCATGGACAGAATCAACTCAAATCAGTTCAAATCAGTTTAACTCATTTATACTTTATAATTCAGCTTAAATCATCATAACGGCTTGAAATTACTTCAATTAAAAAGTCTGTCGTGTTTTTTGTTTGTTTTCTTACCGAATTCAATTCAAAATCTCATCCATGTTTAATGTTTATTTGATATTTGACTATTATGTATTTTACTATGTATGAAGAGGAATTTAATTAATCTGTATAGGTCTGCATAAGATGGAAACCAGTTCTTAATCCCTAGATTTAGGAATTAAAAGTTCCAAGACTTCAGCAAACATTTGATTTGATAGAAATAACTCAAATCAGTGTAAATGAGTTTAACTCATTCATATTCTATAATTTAGCTTAAATTATCTTAACGGATTAAAATGAATTCAATCAAAAAGTCTGTTGTGTCTCTATTTGTTGGTTTTGTGTTCTTGACTAAATTCAATTCCAAATCTCATTCATAATTAATGTATATTTGATAGATCAGGAAATTACTTTTAACTAATATGTCTGGAATAACTTTCAAATAACGTCTGATTTTTATCTGAAATCAATTTGAGTCAATTGCGTCATAAGTAAAGCATTTTTTTTACTATACTTTCATTGGTGACTAAGAAGAAAGAAAGGAATTGAGTCTTTGCCTCAAATTCTGATTTTTAAATTTCTATATCTTTGCTACCCAATGTCATAGACCTTAGATATTTCAAACTATGACTTCTGTTATATCAAATAATCTAAATTTGAAATATCAGCGATTTGCATCATCTGAGGCCAAATTTAAAGAATTTGAGCCGCGGTTTAAATTTAAGCCGCGGCTAAATTATGGTTGGTTTCACTTAAAATTGTATCAAATGTTTCAAGATTTAGCCGGCGCTCAATTTAAACCGGGTTTTGGCGGATTTAAGCCATGAAGGTCGGAGCGTTGATCTTGAACACTTGATCTCAATATCATATGTGGGCACTTCACAAAAGTTTGACTTCAGGGTTTGAATATATTTTTTAATATTTAAGTTTAATGTTACTTCGACTTCTCTATTCATTAAGAATTCTGTTTAAAGATGTAACTTGGAAAACTCATGTTTGAAATTAACTACTGCAGTTGGTATGAAAAACCTGCTGAGCTTAAAGAATGAAGATGTTTTTAAAACAGTTTTAAAACTTGATTTACTATTAGCAAATAAAAAAAAAAGATATTTAATTTCAGGTTTTTTTTTAATGAAAGCTGGAAAAGATACACGAGACTTAATACAAAAGACCAGTTATCTAGAAGGCTGGGTAAATTTGATCTGACTGTAAATATATTCTATTTAAACCTGGCATTGCAGTGTTGAATATAAATATAAGTATTCTCTCTCCTCCTAGAACTACTGGAAACTATTCCCTTCTCCTCTTTAATGTAAATAAATCTTGGCTCTAAGCCAAGTATATACTTGTAAATTTATTATATATACGCCAATATATACTTTTTACCTTTCTTTCTAATCATAAAATGCTTTTAAAAACCATTCTTTTTTATTATTTTACATATTTAACTGTGGAATATGAAGACGACATTTAAATGATTTTATTTAAGAATATTTGCATGGCTTTCATGCTTTTATAAGCACAAATTTGTATTATTTAGCTTTAAAATAAACGAATTTGGTCAATTGGGTCACTCCTATGTATACACATATATACATTGCAGTTGCATAATGTTTTTTTCTTCATTAGACTATATTAAAACCATAACACGAGTCATCCTATTTTAAAGTTTTAATAGTCCAGTGTAGAATATATAATGATATAAAAAAGTTTCAATTATCCCACTGTAGAATATATAATAATATAAAAAAGTTTAAATTATCCCACTGTAGAATATATAATAATATAAAAAAGTTTCAATTATCCCACTGTAGAATATATAATAATATAAAAAAGTTTTAATTATCCCACTGTAGAATATATAATAATATAAAAAAGTTTTAATTATCCCACTGTAGAATATATAATAATATAAAAAAGTTTTAATTAT